TCTTAAAATGACAATAATATGGTTGATTGCAATAATTTCTGGGACAATATATTGTCTAAAAGTAGTTATTGTGACAGGCTAAGCCACTGTCATCCATTTAAGATGTTTATGTTCGACTCTGTGAAATGGTTTTAACTGTCCAGCAGGACAGAGAGTAATAAGAGGACCTGCAATGTTAAATACTTACATATCAACGTTAATGGAGTTGCAGTATTGATAATTACTAGTTATGGATTTGAGTACTTGGTCAACCACTTGTTGGGAGAGAAAAGGGCAAACACAATTAATCACAAATGTTTCACTTTCACACCAGTCGGCTGATCCCAAACTGCACTCTGTGCCACTGAGCACATCTGCGCCTCCTCTTCTCATCTCATTATCTCGTACTGCAACCCACCTTGCCGAAGCAGGTGTGGAAAACTGAGTGACTGAGACAAAGTCCTTACTGAGGTCAGCTCAGAAGAGGCGACCCAGATGACATCCACCAGCAGGAGTATCACCACGCCCAGGGCCATCCGCCTCCGCTGGGCTGCAGAGCTACCCTGAGAGCTCATCCGGTTCATGATGAACACCCACTCCATCGGTACACTGCCGAGAGAACAAGAACATATTCAGAACTCACTACTCAACCCAGAGTTTATAAATCATGAATTCATCAATGAGGTTTCTATGAAAGTGACAACCAACAGTAATACAGTCAGTACGCTCTGGGTCTCATATCTTACTCCAAAAAACAGAAATCATACCAGTATTATGCACAAGTTATATGTTCTTTTGCAGAAATTCCATTATGGGAACACGTAAAAAAACAACAAAATCACTGTAATTTGAAGAACTTTGTGCTTTATACTGTTAGTCTGAAAGAAAAGGCAATATTTTCTTCCATTTCACAGCAGCTATCATCGATTAATCAAATAAAATAAGTGACAGATTTATCCAAAAAGGAAATAATACTTAGATAATACCTTTTTATCACCGTACACACCTGTTTACCAGCTAAATGCACACTCTGAGATGTTCTTTCCAGATGATGGCAGCGAATCGAGAGCAACCAGAGGACTCACAGTTAACAAACACCTGCAACAAAAAGAAAGCAAAAAACATTGTTACTCTCTGGTTTTTAAGACTTTAAAGTAAAATAAAAGCTTTAGTCCACACTATATTTACAATATTCCCACTGCTTCACCTTGCTGTCAGACAGAGTTTATATCTGGTTTAGTCTGGTGGCTTTTGTGAGAGCATACATGGATGTACCGGCTTCAGTTCCCCTGTTGTCTGATTATCTACACAAGTACCTAATACAACCTCGCTTTAAAGAACCTGAACTGTCCCTTTAAGCCAAAAAAACACTTTTAAAACCCTCTTGGATCAGCTGCACTGTCACAAAGAGTGCTGTTTGTCTGAGCTCATGACGAGTTGACCTTTTAGAAATACACAGACGCTACAAACAGGTGACGTCTTATAGGACATGATGCATCGATGTAGAAGCTGAACGTCACTCTTGATGTCGGGAATATTATTTTTTATTATTGACGTTTTAGATTTTGTTTTCCAGTGAGATATTACTGAAATTATAAAGTCACTTTGCTGTTATAAACATTACTGTTGCGGCTCTAAAAACAGTTTTATTTAAAAGACTCAGTTCTGAATTCATATTTAATTATTTATTGTAACTCATATCGCACATTGCAGATGTTCCTCATATGGTGCAGGCCTAACTGTATATAAAGTACAAATGAGCTCAATCATAAACTTCTAAAGCTGTAAAATGCAACAATAATGCAAATATGAATCCAAAAACATCATTTATACTGCACAAGTAATTCGACACTTCTGCTCATTAATAGCCCTCTCTTAATGTAGGCCTTTTCCAAAGCAAGACTTTTACTTCGCAGTGGAGTTATTTCACGGGTGTGGTTTAGTACTGCAGTAAAGGGATCTGAATTCCTCTTCCAGCACTGACCACAGTGGAAATACACCAACAAGTGACTCCAAAGCAACTCATTAAAGAAGAATATGTCCCCAGCTCTTCTTTCAGGAGTTGTTAAATGGAAGTGAAACAGAGCTGTACTGTAAGAGTCAGTAAACAGCTTATTTTACACTAACACACGGATATGTGTGAAGTTCTCGAGGTCACATGAGCCGCTTTCTGCAACCCCCCTCGTATGAAGTAGCAGGCAAAGCTAGCCCTTTCACTATCTGTTACACTGCTGACTGCAGGTAGACGAGTTAATGCTGCAGCTCGTGTTTTTAATGTTATCTTAAATATAAAGTGAGCAGCTGGTTCGAGTCCAGCTGATGTGAGCAGCTGAGCAAGTAGCATCGCTGTGCTAACGTTGTACCTGTTTATCTGCTAACAACTTTGGCTTGATTAAGTGATCAAATGCTTAATTAAAGAAGTCTTTTGTTACCTGGAGGCCAGCGGAGCTCACGTACTTCGCGCCATTATTCGCTTGTCTTTTCGTACGCGGGTGAAATTTGGACACAAATCACAGTTTTTGCGATAAAAACATTGACAGCCCGATGGTTGTAAACATTAGCACACCCTCCCCTCTTCGTTATCAGGTGACATCACTTATGTGGCGCAGAGGCTTCTGGGATATGAAGTCTTTTTCGTATTCATTCATTCTTTCTTGTTTAAACGTTAATGTGTAAAGTTAGAGCATTCAAGTTGGACTTATTTATTCACACCACAGCTAAATACACAATATTCTCTGGTTGTATGGCGGTGAGAGGGATAAAACATGATGTTTTATTGTTTTAGCTCTTTGAAAAAGACAATTCAATTATTATCTTATTTGTGGAGGGGTTTGGTGTGAGCTTTTACCATCTATATAAGTGAAAATAAAACTAATTAGTGGAGTTTTACAATAGATTATGCTCAGTATTGATGACATATATCAGTGGTTCCCAACCTT